TACCACCAAGGGCATCATCTCAACATGGCGCCTGATGAAGAACGCGAAGAGCAAGAAGGGTGCAAAGGGCAAAGGCGGCGACGACAACGCTGTCGACGGCACGCGCCCTTCGCACGAGACCCGCAGAGCATCCATCGCATCGCACAGGGAATCCTACTTTGGCGGCGAGAACGACATCCAGATGACACCCGTACCTTCACCACTCCCAGGCCAATCCCCAGCGCAATCCCCTCCATTAACTTCCGGTCCAGGAGAAGGAGACAAGATCCGCGGTGCAGACGCTAATCCCGGTGTGCAAAAGAAGTTCTGGGGAAGCGTCCTGAACCCGAACAAGACGGTCCCGGAAAAGGCACGTTTCAAGAAGGACGCCTGGAAGAACGTTCAGGTCGGCGACTTTGTGCGTCTCTACAACGACGAGGAGATCCCCGCCGACGTCATTGTTCTCTCCACCTCTTCCGACGACGGCGCGTGCTATGTCGAGACGAAGAACTTGGACGGTGAGACGAACCTTAAGGTGCGCAACGCACTGCACTGCACCCGAGAAGTGCGACACGCTCGACACTGCGAACGCGCCGACTTCGTCATCGAGAGTGAGGGCGCCCACTCGAACCTTTACTCGTACAGCGCGGCCATCAGATGGCAGCAGCACAATGCAAAGGACCCCGAAGCACCGCCGTACGAGATGGTCGAGCCCATCTCCATCAACAACCTCATCCTCCGTGGCTGCCAACTCCGAAACACTGAGTGGGTACTGGGCGTTGTCGTCTTTACCGGAGAAGAGACAAAGATCATGATCAACTCTGGTATCACGCCTAGCAAGCGAGCCAGGATATCAAAAGAACTTAATTGGAACGTTGTATACAACTTTTTCATCCTGGCCGCCATGTGTCTGGTTTCTGGAATTGTGCTTGGGGTGACATGGGCCCGGGACGACACCACCCATTCCTTCTTCGAATATGGGTCCTACGGAGGTAACCCTGCTACAGACGGTGTCATTGCGTTCTGGGCTGCCGTTATTCTCTTCCAAAATTTGGTTCCCATTTCTCTTTACATCACCTTGGAAATCATTCGAACGCTTCAGGCCCTCTTCATCTACAGCGACATCCACATGTACTACGCAAAGCTCGATTACCCATGTACGCCCAAGTCTTGGAACATCTCCGACGACGTGGGTCAGGTCGAATATATCTTCTCGGACAAGACGGGAACGCTCACACAAAATGTCATGGAGTTCAAGAAGGCGACCATCAATGGTGTGCCCTACGGAGAAGCGTACACGGAGGCTCAAGCAGGTATGCAACGCAGACAGGGTATCAACGTCGAAGTGGAGGGTGCCAAAGCCCGCGAACAGATAGCACGCGACCGTGTGCGGATGCTCGAGGGGATTCGCAAGATGCACAACAACCCCTACTTGTGGGACGACGACCTGACCTTCATTGCCCCGGACTATGTCGACGACCTGCGTGGAGACTCTGGAATGGAACAGAAGAGAGCCAACGAGGAATTCATGATCGCTTTGGCCCTCTGTCATACTGTTGTTACCGAACGCACTCCAGGCGACCCACCGAAGATCGAGTTCAAAGCACAATCGCCCGACGAAGCTGCACTTGTCGCCACTGCTCGCGACTGTGGTTTCACATTCGTAGGCCGCGAAGACGACCGTCTCGTCGTCAATGTTTTGGGAGAAGAGCGCAAATACCAGGTTCTCAACACTCTGGAATTCAACTCCAGCAGGAAGCGCATGAGTGCGATCATCAGAATGCCCGACAACCGAATCGTCCTCTTCTGCAAGGGAGCCGACAGCATGATCTACTCGAGATTGATCCCCAACGAGCAGCGACAACTCCGTGCCGATACCGGTGAACACCTGGAAATGTTTGCACGAGAAGGACTCCGAACACTGTGCATCGCTCAAAGAGAGGTTTCTGAAGAGGAATATCAAGAGTGGAACAGGGACTACGACATCGCTGCCAACGCTATCCAGGGGCGTGAAGATAAGCTGGAAGAGGTCTCCGATCGCATCGAAAACCACTTGTGGCTGATCGGAGGAACTGCCATCGAAGATCGACTTCAAGACGGTGTGCCAGAGTCGATCTCTCTTCTTAGTCAAGCTGGTATCAAGCTGTGGGTATTAACAGGTGACAAAGTTGAGACAGCCATCAACATTGGTTTCTCCTGCAACCTGCTCGACAACGACATGGACCTTATTATTCTCAAGGTTACCGATGACAACATCGGTTCCGTGGAAGCCCAGCTCGACGAGAAGTTGAAGATCTTCGGCTTGGAAGGCTCGGAGGAAGAGCTAGCCGCCGCTCAAAACGATCACGAACCTCCACCACCTACACACGCCATCATTATTGACGGAGATACTCTTAAGCTGGCTCTGGATGATTCGGTAAAGAGAAAGTTCCTTCTTCTGTGTAGGCGATGCCGATCCGTTCTCTGCTGCAGAGTCAGTCCCAGTCAGAAGGCTGCTGTCGTCAACATGGTCAAGACCGGCTTGGACTGTCTCACGCTTGCTATCGGAGACGGTGCCAACGATGTCGCTATGATTCAAGAAGCACATGTCGGTGTCGGTATTGCTGGTGTTGAGGGACGCGCAGCCGTCATGTCTTCTGATTATGCCATTGGTCAATTCCGCTTCCTCACACGTCTGGTGCTTGTTCATGGTCGATGGTCCTACCGCAGACTTGCAGAGACGATTGCCAACTTCTTCTACAAGAATATCATTTGGACGTTCTCTCTCTTCTGGTACCAGATTTACACCAACTTCGACAGCCAGTATATCTTCGACTACACGTACATTATCTTCTTCAACTTGGCGTTTACGTCACTCCCTGTTATCGTCATGGGTGTTCTGGATCAGGATGTCGATGATAGAGTATCTCTGGCCGTTCCACAGCTGTACCGTCGTGGTATCGAGCGGAAGGAATGGAGCCAGCCGAAGTTCTGGTAAGTACAATATTCTCAGAGCGTATGAAAGATTGCTAACATTCTCCAGGGCTTACATGGTCGACGGTATCTACCAATCCGCGGTCGCTTTCTTCTTCTTGTATGAGATCTTCGCACCCGCAACTTTCGCGACTTCCAACGGACTGGACCTGGCTGAATTCCGACGCATGGGTATCTATGCTGCGACTACCGCCGTTTGCGCTGCCAACATTTACGTATTGTACAACACCTACCGTTGGGATTGGCTCATGGTCCTCATCGTCGTCATCAGTACTCTCTTCATCTGGTTCTGGACCGGAGTGTACACCTCCTTCACATCGAGTGCTCAGTTCTACAAAGCTGGTGCCGAAGCATATGGTACTCTTAATTTCTGGGCTTACGTCCTCTGCGCTACGATAGCGTGTTTACTTCCACGCTTCATTTTCAAGGTTGTGCAGAAAATGTACTTCCCCCTCGATGCGGACATCATCCGAGAGCAAGTCAAGCAAGGCAAATTCGACTACCTTAGAGACACTGACGCCTACCTTCCTCCACCGCCCGAGAAGGTGGCTGGTGAGTCAGACTCTAACAAGTCGGAACCCGACGCTACAAAGTACAAAGCCGCTAACGCCGATGCTACCGATGAAGACGTGCGTCCCATCTATCCACCATCAGTCGCCCCGACGGCTACGACGCATAACCCAAGAAGCCAAAACGGCAGTAACAGCACCGACTACACCTTCCGCCGCTCTACGGAAGGTCTTCCACCCGCACCCACAACGGAAGCTCCTCCTCCTCTCGCCCACCGTATGTCGACCGATTATCGTGTGCGACCGAGCTTCGATCGTGCACGCATGTCTATGGACCGTGTACGCCCTAGTTTCGAGCAAAGCAACGACTTTACATCGGCAGCTATGTTGACACGACTCGAGTCTTCGCACAGCCGTAACAGCTTCCAAGGCCACCGGAACAGCTACCAACATGGTACTCCCAATACACAGCCAGCGGTCATGAGCCGGTTACGCAACGCGATACGCAGAGCAACAATAACACGGGACGAGGCCCCGGAACATCTTCGTCAGGATCAAGAAGATGTACCGGACGTGCCCGCAGTACCCAAGAGCCCACCACGGAGTCCACGGAGTCCACGGAGCCCGCCCAGGTAGTACCTGCAGCGTCGGTAGGACGGGTGGACTTGTTTGCATACCACGTCTTACTGTTTTCCTACTTTGACGAGCCGTTACGACTCTTTTTTGTAAATAACCGATCATATTTCTCTTTCCTGTCACGTTTCGCATTATGCTAGCGATCTGACCATGTTCCTTATCCACACATTACTACTACCACTACTACGCTTTATTCCCTGTCTGCGGTTTTTTCTCACTTGATTAGAGACTGAATGGGCGTTTTCGGATTTGCATTTTCCTCGCATGTATAGCTGTGATTCCCTCGTTGAGCTTTCCTTGTTTTACATCTTTCTCTGTCTACACTGATATCGGAGCCGTGGAGGGAAGATACTCGATATGCTCATTGCGAGATGGATGGAGAGATAAGCGTTGATGAGCATGGCTGTAGATATTTTAATGATGTGTGGCTGGCCTAGCATTTTCTTAGGCTAGCCTCGACGTTTTACAAGATTGCGTTTTGCATAGATAGTTCGTGCAATGTGTGATGGAGTCAACAGGCTTCATGACTCTCAAGCTTTCCATGCTTTCGTCGGTCTGGGTCTGTTTAGTCATAACATGCCTTGGACTCATCCAACACCGCGTGGCTGCCTCTTTCGGCTCCAGCTTGCGTTTGCAGCCAATCCGCTGCTAGCGCGCTCTTCAGGGTCCATCTGGTACACTCACACCCTACGTTAACTCACAACCACAACATTGCCGGACAGAAAAAGGCGTCAGTCGCAAAGAAGATACCTGGACTCAACTCGGTACGTTACTAATATTTCCTTAATATCTATGCGACTAGAGAGGTTGTTGTCACGTTGTTGCTTGGTGCCTGGCGAGCGAGGGTAGTGCAACCACAAGAGCAGGTGGGTCACCTACCTTGGAAGTCACGATTCACTGCGGATGCCTTATGTGCGAACACGTTGAGTGTTTGTACCTGGAATAAGAGTCGTAAGTTGTCGCAACTACCATACTGAGCATTCCTACACTCACCTGGCAGATACCACATTCTACTACTTTCACAACACGCGCCTTTCGCTACATCTTCAGCGCAACGATATTTACTACGTGCACAGAATTAGACATGGCTTTCGTACATCCCGACCGTGCGAAGAATGTAGGAGACGCAAGGGCGCAGGCTGGACGCGCTACCTCAGTCAGAGGACGTGCTGGAGACTTGGCACCTGCACAAGGAAGAAACAGGAGGAGGAAGTGGGAAGACACTCGAGATGAGCAGTATTCAATGGCTCAGGGCGAGGTCCAGGCACCGGACGAGTATGACAAGACTTCAGGAAATCGACCCGGTAACCGAAGGCCCGAGCATGCACAAGGGCCAGGAAAGAAGGCGAAATTCGAGCATACCCGCCCGCCGCGTCCGAACTCCTTCGATGCTGATCGCAGCAAACGACCGAACGTTGAAGCATCAGTACCACCCAAAAAGAGTGACCCTCGAAGGAAAGATCCCGGGCGGCGCAGTCACCAACTAGATAAGGCACTTCAACTCGCCCCGAAATATCCTGACCTCCAAGATATCGACGCATGGCGAAAACTAGCTCAGAAGAACGAGCGGAGTTGGCAAGCAGAGGATGCTTTTGTATATCGGCATCTGCGTTTCGACCAGTGTCCTAAAGGGCTGGCGTTCAAAGAGTGGAAGATCAGAGTGCATCGAGAGATGGAGGGGTTGGGCTTGGAACATCCATTTATAGGGCCGCATACCAAGCAGACACCTGAGGATGAGGTCAAGACAGAGACTGTAGCTGAGGTGACGGAAGCGACGGTTGTGACAGCGCAGAAAGAAGAGGAAAGCAAAAGACGTATGGAAATGGAGAGGATGATTGCGGATGATGGGTTTGACATTGATATCTACGGCGACGAAGAGACGCGGAGGAAGTATGAGCCGTGGATCAGGAGTCGTATGGATCGAGCATAGATGTTTGGGAGTTTGTCTCGCTTACTTGGGCTTTTGCATTGCGGCTTTGACGTAAGTCTATGGTTCTTTGGCGATTAGCTTGACTGAACCTCTCACTATTGCGACGAACTCGGATTAGGAGCACTTGAAGAAGGTTTGGATGAAGATTCTTGATAGTAATAGTACCATACTGGTGATCGGTGGGGCTATTTTGTTCTGGCCTCGGCATCCCAGAGCTTCCGAATCAACATCGATTTGGCGGCATGAACCTTTAGTTGCATGTCTTCGTGATCGTAATCTTTGGTCTTTTGGCGGAATAAACTGTCCCAATCGCGCACGTGTGCGTCACGTCGCGACCTTGGAAACGCCAAGACTAGGCAGTGCTTGAACAGAACTTTGGAAACTCACATTCACTTAGACTACTACGCCCGCCTTGAGCAGAATTTTCGACACTCTAAATCTTTGAACTGATCACACAAATTCGCCCACTGCCTCTCGACCGAGCCCACTGTTACAACGACTCACACCTCTTGTTCCGTGCTGCCAGTTTACACAGCGATGTCTCTCACAAACATGGCCATGACCGCAGACCCCGAACAGGCGGAGCAAGAAGCTGGAGGCCCCGTTCAATCACGTCACGAGAGCGCGGAAGAGTACAAGCTGCCTACTCTCCCTCCCCAACAAGGACTTGCCATGACCGATGGCGATGCAGGCGAAACAAAGCCAGCTGATGCGGTATCCAGCCTCATATCCCACGAGTCAGAGATCGTTTACAAATCCAAACAATCCATCGCTCGGAAAGCTAAGGACGAGGAACTTCGACTTGCACAGGTGGACATCAAGACCAGGCTCGATGAAGTTAGCAGCGGTCTGCGCGAGCTCAAAGCGAAGCTCAAAGCCAAGGAAGACCTTGTAAGAGCACGCCGCAATCTTTCAAAACGCGCCGCCGCCGCTGAAGAGAAAGAGTTGAACGTCAAGATCGAGAAAGTAAAAGAGCAGTTGAGCGCCAAGGAGGTGCAAGTCGCGTTGCGCCATGCCAAAAAGAACGACATGCGCGAGAAATGGGCCCAGAAGCAGAAGACAGACTACGAGAAGCGCGAAGCGAGACGTAGCGAGCAAACAGAACAGGAACCAGAGATGGACGATGGTGCGGAGCCGGCAAGCGCAGGAGCTGTGATGGAGCCTAACGACTGGGACAACTTCGATATCGATATCTATGAGGAGTAGGGCGTAGACGAAGTCTGACCTAGCTCTACTCGTCTTTATTGCTGTGTCAAGATGGATTGGTTGATGAGACTTTGGAACTGCTGCACACATTGTATTTTATTGCGAACTGACGATGCGTTCTTCTGGCTGCGCTACTTGCGACACAGAGCTCGGGTGCTACTCATGTCGAGTCAGGATATCGTACGATCCTTTGCCATATATGAGAGAAAGACATAGATGCTGTGCTGTCCCAACATGTCTCCAGTCGTGAAGAATGAATGTCCTGAGTGTAGCCAGGCTGGAGCTGGGTGAAGACCGCGCTAGTGTGTTGACGCTAACCAATGTTATCCTAGCCGATCCACGGGCATGTATGTCATCATCGATCGCGTCCCGACCACTTTTCGCGTAGCTCGTGAAGTATCACCGGAATGTCGTGACCATGGCATCTCTTACTGTCTTTCATTCATATCCGTCGCGATGCCGCCGTGGTCATTGATCTCACCTGCCTCGCGGGGCATAGGCTTCGCGCTCGCAAGACGGGTGCTGCAAACCACAAACGCGCCCGTTGTCGCAACGGCGCGGAAGGACCTTGACAAGACCAAGGAAGAGTTGCTCGATGGCTTGGACGTGGACGAGTCGCGATTATCGGTGATGAAGTTGGATGTTCTGGGTACGTAACCAGCATTGATTGTGTTGTGTGTACAACGATGATCAAGTGTTGACCACGTTTTAGACGAGACGAGTATCGCGGATGCCGCAGCGACCTGCAAGAAGCAGTTCGGCGGTAGTCCCAGTCAGCTTCAGCTCGCGCTGATGGTTCCTGGAATTCTGTTTCCGGAGAAGTCACCAGCCCAGATCAACGCCGACGATGCTTTGCTGACTTTGTGAGTAATGCCGCTATCTAAGGTTTACATGATACATGTGCTGATCTGATACACCAAAACCCAGCCGCACCAACACGTTAGGCCCAATGCTGATGCTCAAGCACTTCTCTCCCTTCCTTCCAAGGAAAAGCGCAGTCGTCGATAAGGACCAAGAGAACATGACAGGTTTACCAGATGTAGCTACGATAGCTATCATGTCAGCTCGAGTCGGCAGTATCAGCGACAACCGCCTCGGGGGATGGTACAGCTATCGCGCTTCAAAAGCTGGCGTCAATCAGGTAGTCAAGACCTTCGATAACCATCTGAGGACTGCTTCCGGCGACAACGCGATGGCGGTTGCCTTGCATCCTGGAACTGTCAAAACTGGGTTGAGCAAGGACTTCTGGAGCAACGTCAAGAAGGAAAAGCTATTCGAGCGCGACTGGGTCGCAGAAAGGCTGATTGATGTGATCAGGGAAGTGGCGCCTGAAGGACGAGGGAAGTGTTGGGACTGGGATGGGAAAGAAGTTCCGCCTTGAGGCACATACAGAACGCAGGCGCAATCCCATTTCGCCTACTATATGCATCAACAAAGCCAGCATCTTTTCTCCCACGCAACTCTATCATCCCGACCCGATCACCGCTTATTCTACCAGTATTACATTGCTTGGCTTTCGTTATCCAACCAGCATACCCGGACCCATCGTTATCATGGCAGCTCTTCCCTACTCGCAAGGCGTATTCAATAGCTCGGACGATGTTTCCGTACCTTCGCACATACACACACATGCTGCAAAGCTACCTCAAGCACTCGCTATTCGGCCCACAGTCTCGCAGCAAATCTCGACAACGATCGACTTGACGTACACAAGTCAGCAGCGTACTTCGGACAAGCATGCAAACCATGCGTCGGGACCAAACAAGATCACAACTGGTACTCTTCGAGGAGGCGCTGGGCCGCCAGGAGAAGACGACGAGTTCGACCACGACATGCCAGCAGGTGATGATTTCTACGACTCCACTGAGGTCTCTGCCGAAGACCAAGCTTTACCTGGGGGGTCCCTCGGCTCTGTGTCGTCTGGGTATTCTTCCTCTTCCGACTTATCAGCCGCTGCATCTGAGCACTTCCATGAGCAGAATGAACTACAACACGCTCGGGATAATGAACCCCCGGCGGCTGGACCATCAGGGCACCCATCCAGTCGGCACGACAGTGACTATTTTTCTCACGGTCCACGTCTCGGTAGTCCATTTCAATTCGAAAATGCGCCGCTCACTGGGTCCCGTAATCCGTCCAGATCACACAGTATGGACATCATGCCCTACACAGGGCCACCCAACGACAGCACAAGCTCAATCCAGCATACTCCGTATGAAGGCCCAAGCGAACGTCAGCCTTTAATCGGAAGCCGTGTTCCAGGCGGAATTCCGCCCCCTGGATACACGTACGATGGCGGGGAAGAGGATCCGCCTGTGGCACCTCAATCCCCCGTGGAACCTCAACCTGAGGCGGAACCTCAATACCCCGCATGGCGACGCCGAGCGTTCAGAGCGCGCCAGATTGTCAGAGTGTATCGCTGGCGTGCAGGCTTCCGTGGAGGATTGACGCGGTTTGGCAGGAATCTGCTCGTTTTGAATAGAGAAAGTGGGAAGGATATACGCAAAAAAGACAAATGATGGACTGGCGTTAAGGGGACTTGTATCGGGAGGTTCTTCTTTAGTGTTATCGGGTATGCATGCAGATAGCTGGTCACATAGACCAAACAATACACTTCAACGTGTATAGCTATTTTCGTTAGGGTGTTAGATGTGCTTATGTCTACCAGCCAGCTCGTCGTCTTTGTAAGTTCAACCAGTGGCGCGATCTCACCTTATACAAGGGAAAAACTAAACACCCTAGAGCCTACGTTAACGTTAGGCTACCAAATCTGCATATTTTTACCTTGATGTAGGCTCTAGGGTGTTTATTTTTTCTTTGCATGAGGTGATCTCAGAGTTGAGCTTCCCCAGAGCGGGGCACCCCGCTCCTGCCTGAACAGAACCTTGGAACGTGCAGCGTACGCCATCTAACGGCCCGGCGTACTTGGAACTCAATGTTCCGAACAGCGAGCCCGATCTTGCCTACTTCCTTCTAGATACTCGATCTCATTCGCATTATTAAGTGCGATGATGGTGTGTAGCTTCAAGCATGTGATGTTTGACGACAGCCAGCTTGCATCCAGCCACGTACCTGCGTTCCCCGGAACGCGATACTGGATTTCTGGAAAGCTTCACAGCATCCGATCACCAGGCACGGAAAAACTTTACGTCAGCGGGCGCATTCGCGAAGATCGACATACATTTCTCCGCAATCTCTATGAAGCCTCGGATCTGGGAAACTCATTAAGCCCGGTGGCTCTGCAGCTCATCGTATATTCGCGTCACCCTGCATAACGGTTAAAATACGTTGTGTGTTCGATGACAACAGCAATAGCGCTGCGGAAGCAGTCTGGCTAAATGAGCACAATTTGGTACGCGAGACGGCCGTCGTTCGCTCTTCTCCACAGCAGGCAAGTACCAGCCTCTTGGTCGTAAGGCCGATGGTACGCATAAAGCATCCCACATCGCCGCATACAGGATGAACTCTGTCGAGACCCTCTGAAATTCCTCAGGATGCGGTTTCTACGAAGCATCGTGACAGCTGTCCTCGCATGCGCAGCTCCAGCGCTCGCGCAGAACTCAACGTTCCTCAACCCAGTACTTCCAGGTTGGCACAGCGATCCATCATGCGTCAACGTGAACGGGACATTCTTCTGCGTAACTTCCACATTCATCGTGAGTTCTGGCTGTACGAAGTGCATGTGAGACATATACTGACTTCGTACCTCTACCTCTGCAGTCATTCCCCGGGCTACCCATCTACGCATCGAAAGATCTAGTCGACTGGAAACACATCAGTCACGTATGGAACCGTGATACGCAACTCCCAAGCTACAGCTACTCGAGCGATGGCCAACAAAGAGGCATGTACGCAGCGACCCTGCGATTCCACGAGGGTGTTTTCTACGTCATTTGCGAATACCTCGGATCGGACATGGAGGCAGGTGTCTTGTTCAGGACTACAGATCCTTTCGACGACGCGTCATGGAGCGATCCAGTGACGTTCGAAGCTCCCAAGATCGATCCCGATATTTTCTGGGATGATGACGGCAAAGTGTATGTCGCAACCCAGGGAATCATCGTGCAGGAGATGGACATTGATACTGGCGAAATGGGACCTGTCATTTCGCTCTGGAATGGCACCGGCGGCGTTTGGCCCGAAGGTCCACACTTCTACAAGAAAGACGGATGGTATTATCTGTTGATTGCTGAGGGCGGAACAGCCGAAGACCACTCAGTCACTATGGCTCGCGCAAGGAATATCACGGGCCCTTACTCTCCCAGCCCATACAACCCACATCTGACGAACCGCGGTACATCAGAGTACTTCCAGACCGTCGGGCACGCAGACCTTTTCCAAGATAACAACGGCGAATGGTGGTCTTGCGCGCTCGCGACCCGCGTGGGTCCAAATGGTACATCCTTCCCCATGGGGCGCGAAATGGTACTCACGCCAGTTACGTGGGAGGAAGGCGAGTGGCCCGTATTCCAACCTGTAAGAGGCAAGATGACTGGCTGGCAACTACCTGCGCGCTCAAGAGATGTTCCAGGTGACGGGCCTTTCAATTCGGACCCAGATGTTTACGACTTCCCTTCAAACTCGACAATCCCACGCAACCTTGTGTACTGGCGTGTTCCTCGCGATGGCGCGTTCAAGACAACGCAAAAGGGTCTGCAAGTCGCCCTTGGTCGCAACAATCTCGCTGGCTCGCCAGGCGGGTCTGACCCAGCTTCGAGGGCTGTGAACTTCATCGGGCGCCGCCAGACAGATAGCACATTCAAATTCAGCGTGGATCTAGCCTTCGACCCGAAAGCCGATGGGGAAGAAGCTGGTGTGACCGCCTTCCTCTGGCAGACGGCAAACATCCAGCTCGGACTCATGCGCATTAATGGGTCGACATATCTGCGTTACAACTCAACGGAACATCAGGAGAAGAAGACGCCTGTACCCGCGTCTTGGAATGGAAAGCCCATGCGCTTCGAGATCACGATGCCGGATCCAAGGACATACGTCTTCTCGGCTACGCTAGCCCACGGCAGGTCAAGACCGATCTCGTTTGGCAGAGCTTCAACAGAGCAACTGAGTCCATCGGGCTCGTTTGTAGGGACACTCATCGGTGTGTATGCTACTTGCAATGGAGCTGGTTCAGGGCTAGATTGCCCAGCTACCACACCAAACGCGTACTTCGGACGGTGGAGGTACAAGGGTATCAGACAGTACATTTCCGAGACTGAGAGCGTGTCAAGCGAAGCCTTCAACCAAGGTAGATAAAACCTTAGTCGAGATACCAACAAAAAGTGGTGGAAGACTGTATGAGATTACTTCGAGTGGGAGCTATCGTGAGACGTCTCACACTGTAGACCTAGATAACTCCTTCAAGCAAATGTAACCCAGATCTGGTTGTATCGTGCTATGCATGGACGTGAGTGCTGAAAAGGTCAGAGGAGTGAGCATTCATTTCTAAACACTCTATTCCCACCATTGTACCAGCTGATAGAAAGGCTGAAGCCATCTCAATAGCCGCATATTCATCATGTTGCCCGCCTTATTCATGCCGTGACATCTCTTGTTTTGCTTACACGCCTCGAGCGAGTGGATAGATGAATTACCGACCCATTCTGCAATTACTTACAGAACACGTAAAACAATGTGTTACAGAATCTACGTGTCTCGTCGATCAGTGGTATCCCTTACACGATCAAAGCTTTCAGATCGACGTAATTGTCCACCAATTTCGAACCTCTTACGTACATCTCACTTGTTCATGATGCATTTTACTAAGCCTGCGGACGATTTTGTATGGCAAGGTCCTACCTCCCACGTGGCTTCCTTTCTTGCAAAGGTGCTTGGTAAGATGGCCACTTTTGAAACTTTGGAACTTTGAAACTTTGGTTACTGCCATTTTCCAAAGTTTGGCTCGCAAATCGATGTGTTATGACTCAGAGGCGCCAGCATCGAACGCTACCATGATTTCTGTTTGCTCTACGGTCACGCGCCAGTCTCTGCCTTTATTTGCGCTCTCACTCCGATTTTACTCGCGCTCTCACCCCACCTTTACTTCGCTCTTACCTTTACTTCGCTCTTACCCTGCCTTCACTTTCCACAGCCATATAAATTCTGTCTGCGCTTCTCTTTCTTTCCTTCCTTCGTCTTTCTTTCTTTACCAAAGACAGTTGGTTTTCCAAAAACCTACTCTCGCCACTCATCTTCTTTTTCGATTGATCAAAACCACACCTCCGCCCATCATGGGTCTACCGGAGGATATTTTGTCAGAATGGGTCCTGTCCAACGTCAAGAAGCTTGATCGTACGCTTGTTGGAGAACCGGTCAACGGTACAAGAAAAATCTCCGGTCAACTCTTGTCACCTCCGGATACTGTGATGGCATCCAGCGCGTCAT